CCAAATAAATGCAGCAGACAATGTTATTTAACCACAATTACAATTTATTTTATTTCAACTATATTCTTCTTATTATTATTATTAGGCTACTATTATTTTTATATATTTAATATTTTTGACATTTTATTTTTCAAATGAGGGTGCATAACGACTCAACTGAGGGTGCAATGCACCCTTATGCACCCCGGTAGAACCGGGCCTGCATGTTATAAGGGACCCACAATCTATCTTTATGCAAGGAATAATGTGCAGCGAGGCGGTCTCTATGGGGAAAAGAACACCTGCATCGAGATCCCTCTGCAGGTGGTACTTTAAGTATATTTTGATGCAAATACTTTTGTACTTTTACTTGTACAATTTTGATTGCAGGACTTTTTATTGTAACCGAGTATTCCTACACTCTGGTACTTTTACTCAAGTACAAGATCTGAACTTCTCCCACCTCTGACAATAAATTCTGAGTGGTTACCAAAGAGAAAACCTGCTCTGAAGGTTACTTTCATTTTACAAATCCTGCACTCAGCTTTGCTTTCTCCAATATCATTGAAATGCAGCCAGATGCTGCTTCTTTTTTCGATTTTCGCAAATTTCTTGACTTTTTCCGACGCGCTTGCATTTAAATCCGTCTCCCCGTCGCTCTGTGCAGCTGGCCTGTACCACTACACCTGCTGTGCCCCCCACCCTTCTTTCACATAATGGTATGATCCTAGTGTGTCCTCGCATATGATTGGCCGCATGTTGGCCCAGCTAAATAAAGACCCGCTCCTGCCTGCAAGGATTCTCAGCAAGAGTAGAAGCAGCTGAAGATTCTGCTCTCCCCGACAGGAGTCTGCTCTTCTAGCAGCATCTCGCGATCGGCGTGTTGGAGACCTCTGAATTAAATTATCAAGTCACCTCAAGTCAGAAGGCTCAAGTCCAAGTCAAGTCCCGAGTCATTGGTGTTCAAGTCCAAGTCGAGTCGCAAGTGTTTTGTGATTTTGTCAAGTCGAGTCTCAAGTCATCAAATTGGTGACTCGAGTCTGATTCGAGTCCAAGTCATGTGACTCGAGTCCACACCTCTGCCTGTCTTTATTATGTTGCAGCTCAGCTGATTTTGGATTGATGGCAAAGGGAGAGGGACTTAAGTGAGAGTGAAAACACAAGGTACGTTTAAAATAGGTCAGCAATTTCCCATCCTATAGGTTGCTAGATGTATCTAACCCTTTCTCCTGTCTCCCTCTCTCAGCACAAGAACCCCAGGGGGATTCAATGGAGCTTGAAGACCTGCAATGAGACCTCACCCTGAGCCTGAGTCTCAACTCCCAGAGTTTTGCAAGCCTCTCCCTGTTCCTTATTTTTAATTAAACAGACATTAAGCTTCCCAATGGTGTGGTCTTCGTTTTGTGAAAAATACGATTACCTCACATGTTTTGTTGCTGTTGTTGTCTTTTGTGATAGTTAAATTGCTCCTGCTGACTTGAGCCAGCCATTCTTTCCTCCTCTCTGTGTCAGTGGGGAAGCCGTACATTCATACTCCTTTCTCTGAGCGATTGGAGCATCCCCAGGCAGCACAGCAAACCATGGGGGAAACGATATGCCAGGACAACACGGAGGAAAAGGCACAGACAAACTGCATGATATGCTATTTAATGTTTATTGCATTCCATTTATTTACAATGGATGTTCCTACACACACATTTAACATCATCATGCTGCTGCTGCTGGTCCTTTGACTCATTGTGCTGTCAGTTGACAATCATTGATAGGCACCTGTCGGTCTCCTGTCCTTTCTGAAAGTCATAAAGATTGCATTACTCATTTAGATGACTTATGTCCTCAATTACCATGGGATTACTGAACCCACCATGAATTAAAGAAAATGATAGAAATTATTCTAATCTGAATTTTGAAACCTTCCTTCCCTCCCTCTAAATATATCAATACACATTAGGATGTGATGTTCTTGACTACCATACAAGTTTAAGAAGATACTATTTGTTTTAAAGAATTCAAAGCAATAAGCAACAGGCTCTGTAACCAAGGCAACGTTAGCCTAACATGTATATGTTAACAGGTAAGATAGCTGTTCACACTATGTATATTTTCTACTTTTTGTAATGCTATGTTATTTCTATTTAAGATGTTTACATTTTCGATTGTTTAATTCTAGTATTTTAACTGTCTAATGTACAATGCCTTGTCTTTTGCTGCTGCAGCGTAAACATTTCCCCAATTGGTATCAATAAAGTAGGCTACTTCTTATTTTATCTTAATCCTCAAATATTAGCACATTTTACTTAAAAAAAACAAAAACACATTGATGTAACTACAATCGAGTGGCCCATGGTGATGGTGGTGGGCTTATGGTATGGGCAGGCGTATGTTATGGACGACGAACACAGGCCACTCGATTCACAACATTACCCTAACCCTACCCCTCACACCAGATACTGACTGGTTTTTGGACCCCCCCAATAAAGCAAAACTACACGTTTCAGAGTGGCCTTTTATTGTGGCCAGCCTAAGGCACACCTGTGCAATAATCATGCTGTCTAATCAGCATCTTGATATGCCACACCTGTGAGGTGGGATGGATTATCTCGGCAAAGGAGAAGTGCTCACTATCACAGATTTTTTCAGATTTGTGAACAATATTTGAGATAAATGGTTATTTTGTGTATATAGAAAATGTTTTAGATCTTTGAGTTCATCTCATGAAAAATGGGAGCAAAAACAAAAGTGTTGCGTTTATATTTTTGTTCAGTGTAGGATGTCATGAACTATGCAATTGATTATTTCTTTTGCGTTTGTTAATTATGGGGAATGATTGTGTTAAGAGGTAGTTAACCTGTTTATGTGTTGGTCGGATTTTTATGTTGACAATGTAGTTTTGAGCTAATTGTGTCACCTGTTGACGGTAAGCCTGTGAGAGGGGCTATGGGTTAAAAAGGGATGGTTTTGGCCCTGGAGGATGTCACTCGGAAGAATGTTGCAGTGAAGGCAACAGCTGGGACGTGTTCGGGAGATTGTTGCAGAGAAGGCAACACCAGGGGCCTCATTTATAACGCCGTGCGTAGGATTCACGTGGGAAGGTTGCTTACGTAGTAGAAATCCAAAAAATAGGTACAGAAATGTTCCGACATTTTCCGATTCACCAAACATTGCGTACCGGCGAGGAAAGTGCATACAGCACTTCCTACGCCGGTTTCCTTTTATAAATCACAATCGACTCGAAATGCGGTGCAGCTTTTGCGGGCTTCACGTAACGCCCATATTTGCCTATAAATAGTCAAAGAAACGCCCATTAATTCATTCATTTTTACTGACTTTATGAAGAAGATCGCAGGAAATGACGACAGAACAGCTAAAAAAGACATCTCACACCGTGTCAGATGTGGGTTATTTTTGGGAGGTAGAGATAAATCATATTGTTTGGTGGATGCAGTTTGAACCAGAGTAGCAGCATGCAGGTCGGATCGTCACCAAAATAAATAAATAAGTGGTCCGAAAAAGGTTCATGACAAAAATAATACACATAGCCTTCCTCTGGCAGTGTGTTTGTACCGGGGACAGGAGACACCCCCTTGATGAGAGACTGTAAGAAATGATCGGGGAATCCCTCCGGAGTGGAGTCATGACGACTGGATCTGAATTATGTTTTTGTATTTGGTGGTTTGTGTTCCAGCTGTCGATCAGCTGTGCGCAGCGTCTCCACTGCAGCCTGTGCATCTAACCCCCCTCCCAGCAGCAACTCTATATCCACCAGTTAAAGGAAATACAACCAATGTGTTGTGTTATATTAGCTGTACAATTTACCACATATGGTGTTCTTAGTTTCCATACCTCCTGTGTTTTACGAGCGACTTATCAAGTCTTGGCAAACGGCATAAAACACGATTAAACATGATAGTATATAAAACCATGCTCGTATCTACAACCTATAGAAATGCAAAACGGCGTCAGTTTAGACGTAATTCTGTCCTCCTGCTTACCGCATCATTTATGAGAAAACATTTCATAACATTAACACAACATATTAAATAAATAACATATCCGTATTTATTTCTCCAAGTTATGTTTTTGTGTGCACTGAGGAGTCGCAAACAGGCGTTTGTTAAATCATTTTAAGATTGGCTTTAATCAATGTTTGAAAATGAATTCTTCATATATGATAAATGAGAGGTAACATTTTATTTATGGTATTATTTCCACATATTTCTCTCCATTCTTCCTTCTGCCAACGCGGTGTCGCAGTATTTTTTGAGCGTATATCCCTTTATAAATGAGGCCCCAGAGCATGTTTACTCTCCATGATGAGTGATGGACGGCCTGATTTGGTCTTTTATTTTTGTTTGTTTAGGTTGTGCTGTTCCGCTATTTGTTTTTGTTGCTGTTGAAAATAAAGTTTTGGAGCTTAAAAACAACCGACGAAGCCAATGTTTCGAAGGGACAAATAGAACCCCGTCACAGTACGCATTCAAACACTTTTTCTTTTACCAGCTGTATTCACCTTGCAGGTGCAACTATGTGGCTTTTATCCTGGATAAAGTGTTTAAGTCATGGATGTTTAAAGTTTAACTTCTTCATATGTCTAATATTATAGTTGACTTTTCATTCAGGAAGTATGACGCTACGCTGTCAGTACGCTTGTCCATGTTTGTGATTGGTCGAATGCTCCAAATACCACCCCTTTCATGTGAACGCACACCTAACTAGATAGAACATGGCTGGCTTGAGCGATCCACTTGATAACCCGCGTCGTAGTACAGTTTAGCGAGAGCGCGTATGTTTTGGATTAGGCCAACCGGCTAACTCAAACATATCCAGGTTATGTTGAACCAGCTTCGTAGTACAGGCCTCTGTACAGTTTACGTCTCCTTTTACGTTATCATTAGCTTACGGACTACCGTTACACGTAAGGGGTGAAGTAACGTTTCTCTTGTCAAAACAGCAACAGTTCTCACACAGTGGAGAGAAAACAACTATTTAACAAACACAAACTGATTCCGTTTAATTCTCACCTTCTTTTCGGTTCAAAACAAACCTCTTCTTCTTCTTCTTCTTCTTCTTCAATTCCGGCAGACTGGAGGCCTTGTGGACCATTGCTGCCTCTCACAGGTCGGAGTGAATATACCTCCATTGCAGTCGTTGCAGATAATTCAAGACTGCTCTCACAGATTTATGTATTCTCGGTTGGATTAGCAGAGATGGAAGAAGTACTCAAATCGTGTTGTATTTAAGTAAAAGTAGAAGTACCAGAATGTAGGAATACTCTGTTACAAGTAAAAATTCCTCAGTCAAAATGTTACTTAGCCTAAGTAAAAGTACAAGTATTGGCATCAACATAGGCTTAAAGGAACACAAGTAAAAGTACTCATTATGCAGATTGGCGCATTTCAGAAAAAAATATGATATGTTTTGATTATAATCATTGATGCATTTAAACTGGTAAAGGTGCAGCTAATTTTAATTACTTTAAGTGCTGCAGGGTAGCTGTTGAGTTTGACTCATTTAAGTGTTGATCCTATTTCTTGTCATTTTTCAATTTTTTTCTTTTGAAAGGTAGATTATTTATATGATGAGCTGTGCTCTTATCCCTGGTTGCTTAGTGTATGTATGCTGTTTGTTTTTATTAATACTGCTGGCAGCTATGCTCAAACAATGTCGTAAGTTATTTTGAGTTCAAGATAAATGTCCCCTTGAGTCAATAAAGTATATTGTATTACTACAAAATAAAATGTCAAGGTCCAGTTTAGAAAAGGTAAAACATTTTTTTCTTATTTTTGTTGGGATCTTGGACTCTTTGTATTCTCAGCACCATTTCTTATACTATGAGCAATTTGATGGCTAATTTAGCCGATTTTCTGGGTGGTACCATGGTCATTTGGGGATGACACATCATTCTACCAGAAAGTAGGTGCTTATTTTAGGCACCTACACCATATAATTCATTATTTAATTATTTTGAATGCAGGCACTGGGGAATAAAATAAAATAGGCTATCTTTCTTCCAGCACGACTGACTCACTTTTTTTCAAGTTAGATGTTGTGGATGTTTGTGTGCTATACTTCCTAATTTAGACTTCTGATGTGATACATCCATTAAACACTTATCATTTGTCAGGAACATAATCAGTTCAGGCTGCAGATGGAGACTTCAATAAACGCAGTGTTTTATTACTTTTTAAGATTGCTATTTTTCGGTTGCTGTTGCCCTTTGTGCGGCATATGGAAATTGTTGAAAGAGAGAGTGAGAGAGAAATGGCAACATCGAGCAACAGAAAAGGAAGGCATTAGTACATCAGCAAAAAGTGCACTCACTGTTCAATTACCATGGCATAGTGGACAGATAATATACATCTCAATAAACGCTACGCTGCAGCTCTGTTTGTCTATTTAGCCTCTTAGTATTCATATTAGTTCATACAAACACAGGACTGCAGGGATTTATTGATATACAGCCTATTGAACATGTTTTTTTTATTATTAAAACGTTTTTTTGAATTACAAAGCAATCACAGCTTAATAATAACTTTGCTTTGTTTGTACAGTGCTCATATTGTCAATCTGTCTCTGCTTAGCCCCCATAGCAGTCCAGGAGTAACAGTTCACTCATAAACCTTAATGTGCACAAATAAGATATGAAAGTCCTACAAACATCCACTATTGTTTGCATTTCATTTAAGCATCCTTCACAGAAGCACATAACATTCATAGTGAGAGAAACCAACAAAACATTTAAAAAATACTGTACACATTATTTTTTGAAAGCTTGCAGGGAAAAGACAACTTGAACATTTGTACATTACATTACATTTCATTTGGCAGACGCTTTTATCCCAACCCAACATACAAAGTGACTTACAATAAGTGCATTCAACCAGGAGGGTACAGAGTAACAAGAATCATGTAGGTACATTAGTTTGAACTATGCCAAACCATTCGAAGTGCAAGTACATTAGCTTAAACTAAGCCAATCCGTTCTAAGTGCTAGTACATTATTAAAATATGTATAGTATAGAGATTTCCTTGGCCGAGGTGCAGTCGAAAAAGGTGTGTTTTCAGTCTGCGACGGAAGATGTATAGACTTTCTGCTGACCAGATGTCGATGGGGAGGTAATTCCACCATTTAGGAGCCAGAACAGCAAACAGTCGTGTTTTTGTTGAGGTGTAGCCGGGTCTTCCACGCAGTGACGGAGTAACGAGCCGGTTGGTCGATGCAGAGCGAAGTGAGCGAGTTGGGGTGTATGGTTTGACCAGGTCCTGTATGTAGGATGGGCCAGGGGCCTGATCCATTCACGGCACGGTAGGCCAGTAGCCTACCAGTGTTTTGAAGCGGATTCGGGCAGCCACTGGTAGCCAGTGAAGAGATCGGAGGAGCGGTGTAGTGTAGGAACATTTTAAATGCATTTAATCAATGCACACTTCAGCAAGACAATACATCCAAAATGAGTCACAGTATGAGCCACATCTTCTGTCTTGGTTGGATACGAGCATTATAATAAAGTGTCTCTGTTGGTGTATTATTGGTTCGAGTATGAGGTGTAAAAATTGTGTTTCGTAGTGTTTCTGATGTTAAATCTGAAAACAGCATCAGGTGTTCAGTAATGAACCAGAGGTTGTGTGGCTGTTGCCGTAAAGAGGATCCCTGTTAAGCCCATGTCATATTGTTTTCCCCTGCTTGGAGGATTGTCAGAGCTCAGACCCAGCATTAATATTGGACATAACAATGGAGTCATTGTTGTTAGAGAATCACAACAGGAATCACATTGATGTTAGGCCATTGTCCTTCAGGGAAGTGAGGGATCTCTGTAAACACTTCTGTCTATCACCTTGTACCAAAACTGAATTATGAAGTATTATCTTGGGAACATTGAACACATAAAGTACTAAATCTGATGAGGAAGTATACTTATTTGCTGACTGAATCTCATACAGGGGAACAATCCGGGATACAGTGTGCAATGTGGAGGAGAAAATAATATGTTATCCTTTGTTTCTTCATGCTGAAAGAGGTAATGTCGCTTGTTGATGTTCAAGATGGTTCTAACTGACATTCCCAAAATAAACACTGGGGTGGTTCATATGCCCAACAATATTGATTTGGAAAATCCCAAAATAACATCATTATGAAAATGATAATAATCTTTTTTATAGACGTTTTTCTGAAAATAAACAAGCAAGATATAACATTTTAATTAGAATATTCTGTGTCCATCAACAAAGCGAGGCAGGCTGTTTGCCCCACCTTCCAGTCGTTGTACAAAGTTACGCTTATTTTTAAACATGAGTGGTTAGGGACTTTTCATTTCAACAAGATAATGATTTAAAGTTTTCCCAAAATGTCAAACTATTTATAAAAGGTGATGAAAGATATTAACTTGGCCTTGATCAAATAAGTAAATTCCGGTATTATCAGATAAGACATGAATAATTATAAGAAAGACACTGTCAAGATAAAGTAAGTTAAAAGATGAAACTAACTCAACCAGCTTTGTGGTAAATAATGTATTAGATACATTTTTTGTTAAATAAAGTCTTTACAACATCAATACAATAACTCTGATATATTGTACGTCATGGTAGGGCCTGCAGACTGATCCAATGAATGGTGTATGTCAACCTGTTACCGTTTTCCTATGAGACAGGCCCAAAAGGACATTACACAGATTTGGTGTTACATATAATTATAAAAAAATACTGAATTATTGTCCTCACACTTTCCACTACCGATTAATCATCATGAATCACTTTAGCAGGAATTAAGAAAACCGGTAACTGTTATATTCACTGCTTTTTGTATGAATTTTCTACACCAATAATTACTTGGCATTGTTTAAATGTCTGACTGACATTATAATAAAAGTAATGACTGATGAATTTAGGGCTCTTGAGTAAATAATAAATGTTCTTTTTCTTCACATCATGTTCACACCAAAACCAATGTTCATAGTTACTGCAAAAAACTAAATCCAACTCATTTTCCACACCAGGTGGCAGGCAACCAATCTAAAGTCTGACTAACCAACCAACCCTAACCAACCATAACCAATGCTGCTGAAGCAGGTTTGTGACATTAAACGTGACGAACCAGAACAAAAACAAACTCACATTGTCAACTGTTAATTTACTCTTTGTCCCTCTATTAACATTATTGATTCTCTGTTTATGAAATGTTATTCCCATTTACCTAGACGATGAGTAGAAAAATCAAGTAATAGCAAAAAAAGTGTCATATGGTTCCTCATACATTTCAGGTAAAGTGGAGAAAGGTCAGACCAAAGATGTTATGAAGTGCAACAAATTTGAATTTGATCGAAACGAAAGCAAGCTCCTGAATATTTAATCCAGGCTTTTGAGGACCCCCTGTGGATTTACCCACATTACTTTATATCACTGTATTTCAAAGAATTTCTGCCTGAGCTGATTGTTATGACTCAATAACAGAGACAGGGACTGCAGGAACACAGTGTGGAGAAAAAAATATCTCACACACACACACACACACACACACACACACACACACACACACACACACACACACACACACACACACACACACACACCGTTTTTCTTCAGACTCATAGGCTGCCAGTATAGGGAACTCCACAGTTTGACATCTCTCCACTTGCCAAAGGCATGAAAGCAGGGTGGCTAACTTTCCAAACATCACAGCACTCTGCTCACACCCTGCCTTGTAGACCCAGCTAGACCTTTTGGAAATCAATACGATTGGACAACAAAAGGAACAATAGTTCTCCACCAGAAATAACAAAGGCTTCAGTCTCACTTTGTGTCCAAAAATGTGCCTCTCGCTTTTAATTTATTTGCATGACAATTATAAAACGTATCTTGATATCAAAACAGTAACATTAGCAGTAAAGCAGTTACAAAATTCAATAAATAACATCAGAACAATTGTGTTGTCTTCACTATCATAAGCTCTGTGAAGTTTTGGATCACCAAATCAAATTATACTAATGAATATTATTCTCTCTCACCCTCTATCCCACCCACCCATCTCTCTCTCTCTCTCTCTCTCTCTCTCTCTCTCTCTCTCTCTCTCTCTCTCTCTCTCTCTCTCTCTCGCTCTCTCTCACCCCCTTGTTTCTCTGGTTTAAAACTGAGTGGCATTACACAACTTGTTGCTCATGCTTCGGCATCTGCACAGGTGCAGGACGAAATAAATGTGAAGTTTGTAGATGATATTAATAATAATAATAGTGGGAAAAGCTCAGTAAACAGTGGTAAAATGAGAGCTGTGTGTTTGTGTGTGGTGCTCTGGATGTGCAGCCCTCACACGGCAGCAGCGGCGGGACACATACTCAACGACTCCTCACTTCTGGGAAAGGAGATGTTGTCTTACACGGACCACTTACTAAACGTTTCGGGGCATTTGGATAACCGGACCTCTGGGTTTTTCCTCCTGGACTTCGATGAGGGGATGCTGGAGGACTGGCGCTCTCTGGCCAGCAAGAAGCGCAGCGGAGCGGAGTCGCAGGACGCCGGGATCAAGGCGCTGCTGGTGGCCGCGTACTCTCTGATCATCGTGATCTCCCTGTTCGGGAACACTCTGGTGTGCCATGTGGTGGTGAAAAACAAGCGCTCCCTGTCCGCTACCAGCGTATTCATTATGAACCTGGCCGTGGCTGATATCTTCATTACTGTCCTCAACACGCCCTTCACCCTGGTAGGAGCACATGTACACTTTGAAAATGGTTCTCTTGTTTCTACACTTTTAAGAAACAAAGTGGGAAAACTTTCATGTATTGGTTAAGTTAGGCAGGTGAAATGTTTAAATGAGCTAGTGTTGCCTTTTTTAGACGCGTTTCTTCATATAATAACAACTTGTTAGGGAAATATATTCTGTATTCCATAGTGTCCTCTCATTCTTTCTTATCCGAGTCATGCTGTGGTCGAAAAAGAAGAATGCTTACCCTAAGTAAAAGTAGCAACACTACAATGTAAATATAAGTACTGTATTTCAGTATGATACAATTATTATTATTATAGATGCATTAATTTGCTTATCACTTTAATGCTGCAGCTGATAAAGATGGAGCTAATTGTGGACCCTGCTTTAATTGCTAGCATCCTCGCTTACAATGATGTCCACCTTCGGAGTTATATCTGTACTGCTCAAAGTATAGGCTGTGTGTGTGTGTGTGTGTGTGTGTGTGTGTGTGTGTGTGTGTGTGTGTGTGTGTGTGTGTGTGTGTGTGTGTGTGTCGAGAGAGACAAGTAAATCAATAATTTATGTATGTCCAGGTCCTATTTGTTCCCTGGGTTTATTAGTCACTTTGGCACTGACTTTTCTGAAGGTATATTCGAGTTTCCAATTAAATAGTAATCAGAATAATTATTAGTATTCATAACACATTCATTCAATATTCATCGCAGGAACTGAACTTTACACTGTGAGATGGACGGGGTTGGTAAGGCATATCTGATCTGTGTGTGTGTGTGTGTGTGTGTGTGTGTGTGTGTGTGTGTGTGTGTGTGTGTGTGTGTGTGTGTGTGTGTGTGTGTGTGTGTGTGTGTGTGTGTGTTCCCTCAGGTCCGGTTTGTGAACAGCACCTGGGTGTTTGGGAGGACAATGTGTCACATCAGTCGCTTTGTACAGTACTGCTCCCTGCACGTCTCCACTCTCACGCTCACTGCCATCGCTCTGGACCGTCGCCAGGTTTGTCTTCATCGCTAGAGAGCATCATGCTTGATCCCACTACTGTGTGATATAGAGAAACACTGTACCAATACTAGTATTCTGGCAATTTAATAATAAGCCTTGACAAGATGGGGGTTAAGTCCTTTTTTATGAAGTTGTGTCCTAGGCAGACGTGGAAAGCCACCAATGAAAAGCAAAACTTCTCCTTTATGAAATTCAATCCAGTGGTTCACAATCTGTTTGGCTTGTGACCCCTCAAAAAAGTATCGTTGGCTTGTCAAGGGCAGGTAATATATCGTGTCAGGCAAGTAAATCTAACAATTCACCTGTCTGAAATTAATTTCAACTTGCAATATGTTAAACAAATCAGACCTTTCTTAACTGTCAATGCTGCAAAGTCATACCTCCACTGTATGATTCTATCTCATATTGAATACTGTTTGACAAACTGGTCGTTTGCTTGTGCCACAAACTTGAAACCAATAGAACAGCTGTACAAGAGAGCTATCAAGGTGTTTGACAGAAAGCCACATTCATACAAAATCAAATCAAGTTTTATTTATATAGCACATTTATAAACGATTTTTGGTCGAGCCAAAGTGCTGTACATATAATAAAAATAGCCTACAGTAGAGACACTTTACAGCAAATACAACAGCACAGATTTTTCAGAATATCAGTATGAGAAAAACGACACCCTCTATCCTTAGACCCTCACATCATAAACGGAAAAACTTCCAGAGAAAACCTACAGTTTAAGGGGAAAAAATGGGAGAAACCTCAGGGAGAGCAACAGAGGAGGGATCCCTCTCCCAGGACGGACAGACGTGCAATAGATGCCGTGTGTAAATCGAAGAGATAATACATTTTACAGCATAGGTAGTCCAAATGTTAGGAAATGCATGTGTCTGTAATAAGAAGATGAATCTACGAAGATGTCAACTACAATCCTGGGGGAGCCTTCAGGGAGGCAGCAAGACGAGACCCAGGCAGGACCGCAGAGACAGGTTTAGCCACGACCCGAAGTCCACGACTTAATCCAGAACTCAGGATAGAGGATCCAGGACCACAGCAAGAAGATCAGCCTCGACTCCGGATCCCGGCGTAGATATAGACACAAAACAAGAAAAAATGTGGCTGGGTTAATCGGAACAAGAGAATACACAGACACAGACAGACAGACGGACAGACAGACAGACAGACGGAAGAACAAGCACTCCCTTAGAATATGTTGAGGGCAAAGGGTATAGCAAGTAAGAGAGTTAGAAACATAGGTGGAGAGGCACACTCAGGGAACAAGGTCCCCACTGGAGCCTTAGTTGGAAATTGATGAGAGATAGGGAGGTACACTGTGTCTACGAATTGTAACACTCCCCGGCCTGTCTAAGCCACTCTACAAACCGTTTCCCTCTAATAAAACTCAAGAGATTAGAGAGGGAAAAGGTCTTGGGTAAAAGTTATTCTTGATAAGAGAAGCCTAAAAGGCCAGAGAGAAAAAGTGAGTTTTAAGTATTGATTTAAAAACCCCCAGGGTCTGGGCCGACCCAACCCAGTCTCACAAAAAAACGTGTAATAAAAACGTTGGTCCACAACGTAGGAAGAAGTATTTCTACAAAAACGCCTCTGAAATTGTAAGATCCCTACGTTTTTTTTCACCATTCATTTCCAATGTGAACACATTTCACATTCAAAAGCTGCTTGGATGTAGTATGGAATTACTACGCTGCCACAGTGTGCTCTTTCCGGTGCTGTCCATGGTGCTGAATGTGAATGGAGTGACGGTTTTGAGGTGAAGAAGTGTCATTGTGGTGTGCCTGTGAATGTCAGGCTTTGATATGTTATTTACTGTCAGATAAGGAACGAGGCCAGGGGCAAGTCTATGAATCATCTGTGTTTAACGGGAGTTTTAGCCTTTGGATGCCATTGTGGTCACAACCAGACAAAATTGTCCAATAGCATTGAAAGGACATGCTTACAGCTTCATTGCCTTGACAAGATACAGCTGCTTTGATGTTTTTCTGGACTGTATCTTTCATATTCCTCGCCTTTTTGTGACTATTATATGACCTTCCTCTGCTGTACTTTAGTCTCAGTTGCACAAATACCCACAAATGTCATTCAAATGCATTTGAAGTGTTTGCACTGCGCTTTTCAAATGCAATCTATTTTCCCTCCTCCATAATGCATACACTCTAATTCACCATACAGTATGCAGCTAAGTTATAATCATGCTAAGGAAACATCTCACGCCTAGACTACTGCAACTCCCTCCTGGCTGGTCTACCTGTATGTGCCATCTGACCACTGCAGCTCATCCAGAATGCAGCGGCTCGTCTGGTCTTCAACCTTCCTAAATTCTCCCACACCACCCCGCTCCTCCGCTGCCTTCACTGGCTTCCGGTAACTGCTAGAATCCACTTCAAGACAATGGTACTTGCGTACCATGCTGCGAATGGATCTGGCCCTTCCTACATCCAGGACCCCACATGGAAGGAATATATATGAACCTATATATTTTTAATATATGTCACATATATGTTTAACATATATGTGACATATCTGAAATTGGATCCCTACATATATGTCTCTGAACATATATGTACATATATATCCATATATGCACACACATATATGTACATATATGGGTGCAGTGTATATGCACATATATGCACATATAGGTTTCACATATATGCACATATAGGTTGCACATATATGCACATATAGGTTTCACATATATGTAAAACATATATGTGCATATAAGTTTCACATATATGCGCATATAAGTTTAGCCTATATGTGCATATATGTTTATTTACACCTATGTTCAAGGTTTATACATAGCCTACCTACATAAAAAAATACAGCACACAAAATGTATAAGTCATTAACATACATTTATTGTCAATAAATGTCAATTATTTTGTCTGCTTTTGGCGAGCCCTGAGCTCTGTCAGCTTGTTGTTGATGGCTGTACCCAGCTGGCCCTTCGTTGTGTGTGGCCACTTCTTCATTGTTGCCTCTACAGAGAAAAGAAAAGGACATAATGAGATGACTGTAAAAATGCTCCAAGTCTTCTACAGACTCCAAGCATTCCACTCCAAAGTTTTGCCAAACCACCTGGTGTAGTGTACACGAGCTCCCCTGTGAGTTTATTGGCAGATAAAGCCCAAAGCCGGGAGCGGGAGCTGCCTGGACGCTGCAATCATATTGCGCGCACTATCCGTGCTGAGTGTGCTGACTTTTCGTACAATGTCCCACTGTCTGGCTTCCTGCATAAAGTCAAGTGCTCGGCGCAGTTGTGGCGAAATGTCGCTCCCCTGTTTTCATTGAAACAGCTCCTTATACCCGTTAGCGCAGCTAGCTAGCACCAGATGCTAACAACAACAATACACGTAAGGTCTCTCTCTCGCTCGCTCGGGCCACACATACACACACCCTCCCGGTCCTCCCGATGGCCAGTCGGTGCCTGGCTGCCGGTGAGCGTGGAAGTGTGGTCTGCCACAAGTGGGCGGCAGGAGCGGGGCTGTCAGCATCAGCTTGTAGATGGTATTTTAAACTCGATGCGCTCTGAAAATACGGGGCGGCCGAGGAAAACAAATACACATGCGTTAATCGCGTTAAAATAATTAGTGGCGTTAACGCGTTATTAACGCACTTATTGTAAGTCGCTTTGGATAAATCTTCAGCTAAATGCAATGTAATGTAATTTTCCTGCTCATGATGTAGAAGCTGTACTTCGACTTGATACATTGTTTCACCATAAAAAATAAATGCACATAGCGTCTCAACAACCCTGGGTCCAATTGTAAATGGTAATTCTGATGTCTAATGTAACCTCGGCTTCTGCTGAAAACTACTTTGAGCCATTATTATCATTTCAGGAAGATGTCCCTGCATAACTCTCTTATCACAGATGATGCCTTAGAGCAGAATTATGATTTATGAAATAGGCCCCACTGGTTCATGAATTAAGGTCTTCTTGTTATTTTAATTGATGTTGATGTGCATGAATGTAGGCCCCTCAATTGAGTGTGAAGGCTGTTTTATTTGTACCTCTCAAAACACCTTGTTCTTCTTCTGCTCCAATAATTGGTACCAGCTGTGGAGCTGAAATATGATCTTATGTGAAACAAAAAACCCTGAACATAATTTATGCATTTAAATCTGAAGTGTGTTAAATTATGTTGATCTTCTTATAAAGCCAGACATTGGTAAGAACATATATATAGATGCTTTCAAATAAAGTATATTGCATTTTGTCCGATTTAGCTGTTCTTAATGTACCTTATTTACTACACTGGATGTTCTCCAGTGGGGATAGAAGTAATCAGACCCTTTACTTCTGCAAAATTAATACGTTTTACTTTAGTACTGAAGATATATCAGCAAAAGGTAAAATACTCATTGTGCAAAATGGCTTCTTTCACAGTGTTATATTAAATAAATTAAAATATTACTAACAAGTACATGTCAGAGCTATCTAAGGAAATGTGGTGGAGTAGAAGTATAAAGTAGAGCAAAATGGAAATACTCAAGTACGACAAAACAATTGATAGTAATTGAGTAACTGTATGACATATCACACTTTCTTTCTGCCACTTAAAGGGGGCCTATTTGATTAATTTCAGGTTCATAATTGTATTTTTTTGCTTTACTGTGACATGTTTGCATGCTTTAATGTTCAAAAAGGTTTTTACTTTTCTCATACTGCCTGTGCTGCAGCACCTCTTTTCACCCTCTGTCTGAAACTAGAGCCCAGTCTCTGGCTCTGTTGTGAATGGTCATAAAAGTGTCAGTATTACATAGTGATGTCACTACGTTACAGAAGAAAACCAAGGAGTCCAATGGGGTTGTTTTAGGCGGGTGGGGGTTGAGTATGTGACAGAGAAACTCCCTCTGACTTGAACTTGAAACTATGTGGATTTTTGACTTTACAGACCGTTGACATGCACAAAAACATATAACACTACAGGAAATGAAAAAAACCCAAAAAGCATAATGGGGCCTCTTTTTGCTTAGTTTGTTTGTTTAGTGTTGGTAAATGCTCTCTCTGTCCCTCTGCTGAACTGTAGATAAAACCAATATGTGGTCTAGATTCCAAGTGATTTCAAAAACTGCACAGAAAAAATAAGCTACAAGCAAGAAAAACGTTTATCTGGTCCAAGATTTGACTTTGAAAAGTCCTTTAGAAAATAACATGGTCTTGGGTTTACACTCTGCTTCACACATTAAATCAGTCTAAGCTCCTATAATTACTGCCATTCAAGAGAGTTAGATCAAACTGGAGCTAATATGAATAGAAGACAGATTATCTGTAAGTGTGTGTTTGCACTGACCTTGATATGTGTTGTTAATTTGTTTCAGGTGATTTTGCACCCTCTGAGACCTCGCATGTCCCCGGCACAAGGCGGTGTCTGGGTCGCTGTTATCTGGTTAATGGCCAGCTGCTTCTCTCTACCTCATGCAATCTACCAAAAACTCCTCACTTTTACATACAGGTAAAATGATTAACACTCCAGTGGAAGTGTATAATAATATTTTTTGGAGGCAATAGAGGAGAGCTTGGTGAGTCTACTCCATTGAGGTGGAAGGGAGGAAGTTCAGCCAGTTTTCAAACTAACCTTTCAGCTGTTTAGTTGTGAGGATTTGCTGTTTTGGTCAATTTTAACTGAATATTTTTCGGGGTTTTTTGACTGAAAAACTAAGATTTGATTGTGTCACCTAGGGAGAAAATAACTGTATCACAATTTCAAAACAATTGATCAAGAATCAAGAAAGTTTTCAAAAGTATAATCACTAATAATATTTGTGGCGTTACCCTCACTTATGACCTAATTATTACTAATCTGACTTGCTCGTATCTCTCCTCCCCAGTAAGGAAAAGGAGCGCAGCCTGTGTGTCCCAGATTTCCCAGAGCCATCAGATGTCTACTGGCAGTTTATTGACCTCCTGACCTTCATCTTACTTTACATGCTGCCACTCATTGTCGTCACCGCCTCGTACACCACGGTGGCCTGCCGGCTGTGGCACCACAACGCCATCGGTGACACAACGACAGCTCAGCACGCTGCCCAGAAGAGAAAAAGGCGGCGGACGTTGGCCATGTTGCTCCTGGTGGTCGGGGTGTTTGCTGTCTGCTGGTTCCCACTGAACTGCTACGTGGTGCTACTGTCCAGTCAGGCCATCCACTCTTCTAACGCCCTGTACTTCTGCTTTCACTGGCTGGCTATGAGCTCCACCTGCTACAACCCTTTCATCTACTGCTGTCTGAATCCCACCTTTCGCCAGGAGCTGAGGCTGCTCTTCGCCATGTGCAGGAGGAAACGTCGGGCGGTGGTCGGGTTGGAGCCGGAGCTACGCCCTGTAGCTGCTCCTTGCCGTCACAGGACTGCCTGGCCTGACACCAACCAGTCCTCCAGGCCCGGGCGTGCTCTGCCACACCCAGGCAATTCCTCCTCACAGCAAAGTCACGCCTCCTCCAGTCAGTCCCAAAACCTCAAAGACACTCATGTGCTCTTCATCGCCAGGCAGGTCCTCACAGGAAGGACTGACATTCTCTCCGTGGAGCCCATTGTGGCTGTGAGCTGACTTGAAAAACACTGCCACAATGTGATGCAATTACTGTGTCTGAGGTTGGGATTTGCCATGTTCGAAAAAGAACAAGACATCTGAAAATCTCAGAGATGTAAGCCTGGGCCTACAATGGATTTTAACGGCAGTGGAGCGAGATGATAATGGGCTTTTGTGATGGCTTTAAATTGAAGAAAATAACACCATGTTCTTTTTCCATCAGATACTGTAATAAAAACATGATTGTCTTTGGTTTCACCTATCATTTTTTCTCATCCCAAACTGTTTTTCACTCAATTTAGGCCTCAGCTCTTCACGTATAAACAGCTACTAACCCTAACCCTAGATCTTCTATTCCAGCATATGTGCAGTTTTTGTAGTTTCCATTTGTGTCCTTTGCGTCAGGCCGTTGTGTCCTTGGGCAAGACACTTCACCCGAATTTGCCCCTGTTGGTATTGTCCACAGTCGATGACCATTACATGTATGATCTGTATGTGTAATGTGTATTTGTAAAGCGCTTTGAGAGTCATTGATAAAGCGCTATAAGGATATAAGGATTATTATTATTATTATTATATATGATGTACAAGCAAAGGTTGCAATGTGATGAACTTGGCTCAGTCATGCACATACAACACCTTCGACTGAAATGTCGTAATATTATATTGCTGTGAATGCCAAAAAAACTCAAAAATATCTTGTAAAATACAAGACTTTGATGTTCTAATTTAAGTCTATCTGTATTTGTTCTCATGGCAACCTTTTAGAGTGATAGGATCTGCTTTGAATGTACTTTTCCTTTTATAACTTTGGTTTGCTATTCTGCTCACTAGGACAAAGTCTCGGTGGATAACGCTGAACATCTTCAGAAAAAAATGATAACTCTATACAGTATTTCTCATTGATTCACATTCAGCCGGAGGCGTTATGTACTGCACAGGAAAGGGAAATATGCCAACAAAATACAGCAGTAGTCTGAGACTTATTTTCTATATTGTGATCTCACAGTATAACTCTGTACCATAGACTCTATTATCGTCGTAGATGCTTTAAAAGCCTTTACACTGTGTGATGTTGGCCTGCCCAGAAGAAAAGTTTGATAATGTTGAGAGAAAAGAACATTTTGGTTCATCAGTCGATGTTCTGTTTTGCATACCAAAAAGTACTGCCGTGGCTAAATGCTGTGTTTTCACTGCTGTTTCGACCCAATGATGCAGAATAAATATGACTGGTTCAATTCTCTCTGTTTAACAATTGCTAAAAAGAAAGTTTTCAGTTGCATTCCAATTCTCAGTTCATTTAACATTGCCTAAGTGGAATTTATTTGTGTTTATATTTTCTCATACATCAGAATAATCATATATCTGGAATATCTAACATATCTTTACCCTGACCATTTGATAGGCTGCTTTGAAGCTCACTGTGCTACTTTAAATGCCTCAGGGTACATTTCAACACGGCTTCAGGCTCTACATTGCTGTGTTAACATTGTTATACAGTTAAGTATGTGTATTGCAAATGCTTGTGTGTGTCAAACTCTAGGCTACAATAACAAAACAAAAAGAAGATCAACCATATGGCAGAATGGTTTTATACTAAAACAGCTTGAATTTCCTACGCTGCATAAAAAACAATAGATCGTGTTTTTCTGTAAATTAGATCTTTGTTGTTTACAAAATTCACATTGAAGGAACAATGTTGCCAATCAGTAACTTCAGGGAAGCAGGAAGATTTTTCAGTTCTGTTGTTTTTACGACGTAAAACTAAAAGATCGGCGTCTCTCAACAGGTTGCCCATCACTGTGGCGTTAGCACAGGCGCCGTGGGAATTGTAGTCCTTTATAGTGCGTTGACTACAGACGTCACAATTAGGTGGCCTTTCTTATCAAATCAAATTACTGGCTCTAACAATGCTGATAATATATTGTTGGAAGTGTTCAGTGTTTCATGTGAACAAAATATGTTTTATGTATTAGAAGTGAGAAAAGTAAAATGGTAGAGTGTAATTGTGCTGTGTAAAAGACTCTGTTCTGTGTGATTAATTCTCAATTAATAAGTTGTTGTTTTTTTGGTTTGTTGGTTGGATTATGGTCTACAGAGGAAATGATCAATATTCCACAATAAATGTTTTGCAACGTCATGTCTTCTCTTAAAGTAGTTTTGATTAATTTATTAAAAAAACGCAATTGTTCAGGATTGTGAGAGTGTTGGTTATATCACTAAGAATAAAGTGGGTATACTACATACTACTGCGTTTATTTCAATGTCATTTAGCTAAAAGGTGACAATAGTGTGAATTGTGTGGGCATACTAATATATGTGTAGTAGATTTAATTAAAACTTCTTAACCTTATTCTATGGCTTTAGATGTTCAGACATTATTATCTAGTTTCTGAAAATATTTAAAGGCACTGGTGCAATAACTGCTTTGATTCCTAACACGCGATTGTGGGGGATATAATGAAAACCATACCTTCAAAAATATGTCAGAATTGGCAAACTTTTAAGATTAAAGATTAAAGAGACAAACTGCTGCTGTACATATCAGCAGAATCACAGTACAAACTGAATAATTCAAGGTGCAGAAATGTTTTCCAACACCCATGAGACAAGGCTCACTTTTCTCTTGAAATGATTCATATTTGTCCAAGGGGCAGTAAGCCTGAGTGACAGCAAAGATAATACGATGTCCCAGATATGCCACCTGTGGGACAGACAGCTATTTGTCGGACTGATTGGAGACCGCACTCTAATCCAGTAGGTCATAGCACCACCATGTGCAGTGCACCATGAGACCATTAGGATACATCTACGGCTGTGGTTTAAGAGCAGTGTGCTTTTAATCCAATTTAAAAGCACAAAACACAAAACACAAAACACAAAAACCAAAACCAATTTAGCAACTTTTTGGGTTATGGGAAATCTAAAAAAGGTTAAGTAGTAATTGTGAATTAAAGTTACTAGATTTAAATGAGAGAACACATATAACTATAAATAAATTAAGAAATATTGCCTTCCAAAACAACTCACATTTCAACAACTTCAATAAATGTTTTAGATTTTTTCATGGTTAAGTTTCACTTTGTTGGGGAGAGATATTTGTTATGGTTTGAAAACCAATACATGTAACTGTTTGGGTTCGCTCTCACTTCTCTCATCGGCCACAGTGGGAAGCTATTTTTATAATCAAATAGCATTAATAAACCCACTTTAACAGCAAACAGACATATTTATTAACACAGTGGAGCGTTGAGCAACCACACAGAGACCGTCCTCTTTAAAAGAAGGCATCTTTAGCAGGTATAATGGTAAAAATGTGCACTATTTTTTGTTGAATGTGTTAAGCCCTTGTCCCACTGTAACATAAGAATAATGAAAAAAAGACAGGAGACCAGTTTAGTCAGTTTAATTCAGTAGATGATTGCCATAAAAGTCTATACACATTGTCATGGTAATCCATTCAAAGGTTTTTGGTCTGGTATTAATTTTTATTTATTTACAGTATTTCTTCAAAATAGTCTGAATATCACAGGAAGGGGAACATGAAAAAGAAAAGGGAAATGCATTATAATTGTTCTGATTTGATTTTCTAATGAAAGCAGTGCGAGCACACATTCAACTAAAGAGACTCAGAACATAGAATATAATTCCTTTATTGTCATCAACGAAATAAAAAAAAGCAATCCTCGCAGTGCATTTCCACATAATACGAATACATATATATCTATATAAACATATACACACATAAACATATGCTCACACATCCATACCAACATGCATACATGCCCGCACATTATTTAAATACAGTTTACAATATAAAAAACACAGGGATGATATTTTGCATCTCTGATGTCGATCAGTTAATAAGTTAATAAAACTATTAAAAAGTAGTGCAGTTGCAAGTTGTAACTGTTCAGTTCAGCGTTTGACGGTGTTCAGTTCTCGTATGGCTCTGGGGTAGAAACTGTTTTTCAGTCGGTTTGTCCTTGATTTAAATTGACCTGTAGCTCTACCGGAGGGCAGAAGAGCAAACAGGAAGTGTCCAGGGTGTGAAGAGTCTGCAATTATTTTGCCTGCTCTGTTGAGGCAACGTTGGCTGAAGAGTTCCTCCAGAGAAGGCAGTGAGCAGCCGATGACCTTCTGGGCTGTGTTGATGACCCTCTGAAGGGCTTTCCTGTCCTTTTCTGAGCAGCTGGCACACCACGTGGTTAGGCAATATGCCAGCACACTCTCTATGGAGCAGCGGTAGAAAGACACCAGAAGCTTCTCCTCCAGGTTGTTAACATAACACACTCTTCTCTGGATATACTTCAGAAAATACTTCTAAGGGACAACACAAAAAGGGAAGGAAAGTTGTTTGAGAAATAGATCTTATTTTTTACTTTCTTTTGGAGGGGAGGTGGCACGCCTCAGCCTTGCAACACTCGGATGTTCCCACTTCCACAAAAGTGCAGAGCCTCATTGAACTGCTTTTATATTATGGAGGAGAACTACAGGGACTCACTCAGCCTTACAATCTGTTTCAAACTATTGTACCTTTCCTTTACTGATGGAGGACCTTAACAAGGAGTGGAAAGATGGATGATACCAAATAGCTTGTCTAAAAGCTTGTGAATCTGAAAGGTCATCCTGAGCAGCAGGGGGTCAATGCGATGCTGTTTAGTGAGCATCACTTTACTTCAGGAGTTGCATATTAACACAGGGAGGATGAAAGTAGCATGAGTCAGCATTCATTTGATTCTGCACACACTGACTTGCAGACAGTGCATTTGGCTATTACTCAAATGCCACAAATAAGCTGTTTAACATAACGTTTTAAAAAGCCCAATTTTTCCCTTATTCCTCCAGACCGGATCTCACATAGTGACCTGCATTAACCTCTCACTGACTTCCTGTCTGTAACCAACAGCTGCCCCCAATTTTAAAACAAGACAAGAGAAGAGATTATAATGCAAGAGTTTCTATTGATTGGGCTTTTTATAAAGGTTATACTAAGGTTGTGTCCGTCACAAAATGAG